CACTTGGAAGGGGAGGCGGAGGCAGCGACCTCGTCCCTGCGGCTTTGTCGCCTCCTGGTGTGTCCCCATCCACCCTGTGCGCAGCTTGAGGCTCCGGCGGGAGCTGCGGGGGGTCGGGCAGGGCAGGGCTGCGTGTTCCTCCCAGCCCCTCGGGAGGGGAAGGGGCGGGAGGCCGAGTCTGCAGCCCCTCCTGGTGCCTGTGGCCCGGGCAGGGTGAGAGCTGTGGGCACAGGGCTGTGCTGATCATCCTGTAACCAGCGCTGCTCCATAGCAGTCTTCCCCGGACATAAAAAACATTCGGGATTAAAATAGGTTTTTGTAAGAAAAGAGCTGAAAGCTGTGTTGATGAATAAGTAAAAATTTCTTTGGAGTATTTTTAGCCAAGAGGGAAGCGTTGGATGTTTTATTAAAAAACTTCTAAAATGCTTGGGAGACTTGTGTGAAACTAAATCGTAGAGAGTCTTTTTAGCAGCTCTCATTTAATTTCTATGCAGGTCAACGCGTATTTTCCTTTTGATTTCTTTCCGTTCCATTTAAAGCTATTTGCATTTGTAAAATTTAACACAACTTGTTTGTTTGGTAGAGTGTGTGTATGTTCATCTGTATTCTGGTTTTCTTTGTGCAGCTGGATTGAAAATCATCTGGAGGAGAAAGGCTTATGTCACGTCTGAAGCTCTTCACTTCAGAATTAAACGAGCTATCTGTCTTGAATGAACTTATTTCTGTGTATTTATAATTTCGTTTAGACTGCTAAATACAGACCATGCCTAGCAGAATGGGCTCAAAAATTGATTTGAACAAAGACTTCATCAGAGTAAAAACACACTATAGTGGGTAAGTCAGCATGTTCTCTCTCTAAGTGTTGTGTCCTGTCTGGTTTTGAAGTGAGCAGGAGTTTGTAGTCTGACCTAGTGCTAGAGGAACCAGGGTGTTGGTAGATTTATAATTAAAGTCAGATCAGATGGGCAAACTTCTGGGCTATTCTAATACCACCCAGACTCCTGCAGCATGCTGATGGCCAGAATGAGTTGACAGCTTGTTCTTTGCTTGAAGCCAACCAGGGTGCAGTTATTCTGGATTGATGGGTGGGTTATTGATTTCTGTTTTGTTACAAGTATTTATGGTCACAGGTAAAGAGGATAAGGGAGGGAATTTTGCTTAGATCACAAGTTCTCAGTAAGTTTGGATGATTCTGTGCAAATTGCTTGAAAATTAACTTTTAAGTGATTAAAAAATAAACCCACATTCTTTGTTTTCCTGTTGTTAAATACTAGAGGTAAGCTTTTATAGTTTGCCCTTTCATTTTTGATAGCTGACATTTTACAATAAGCTACTGCTGTAGTTTTTACTGCGACGCTGTCAGTAATTCCCATTAGCTGTGAAGTCTTTTTTTCTTTCAGTTGTTCAAGTTTAGTAATCTCACTGTGGTGTCTCTTTGTTAAATGCTGTTCTCACTTGAGAGAGAGACCTGCCTCTCGCTTAAGGCAGACCAAATCATCAGTCAATCTAAAAAACAGGAGTGCCAAAATTGTTGATTTTTTTTTTTTTTTTTCAGTTCTAATGGTCAAATTCTGTAAGAGGTGACTTTTTGGTATTACAGACTGTGTAACATCTTGGTATTTCCATCAAAGTACTACACTCATCTTTTGAATAAATTTGATAAACTGCAGGAAGTAATTGATGCTAGACAATTTCAGAATTAAGGGCAAGCTCATTCATCTAGCTGCTGGAAATTCAAATAAAATAATAAAGCATTGTATAACTTTGAAATCCCAGTTGAAGATCTAAGCAGGAGGAAGTTCTGAAACACGTGAATGTTGCGTCTGTCTCTGTGCAGTCCCAGTATCTTAGGTATTCATGTTTCTGGGTGTGACAGAGTTCCTAACATAGCATAGTATAAATAACTGCACAAGTACATTGCAAAAGAAGGTAAACTTGTGTAATGCTCATTTCATCATTGCAGTTACTTACTTGATTTGGTTTTTACCTGGTTATTGGAAATCACTTCATTTAATTGATCAGAGATGCGGTGTTGTTTGCTTTGTGTTACCTTGGTTCTGAATGGTGACACATTTAATCTATAAATGTGGATGAATCTTGTGCTGTAAGTACTCAAACGTGATTTATAAGTCACTTGTTCTTCATATTACTTTGTACTTAGCAGTTTCAATACCTGACAAAAGAAATGTCCTATAGCATTGACCAATCCTTTCATCTGTCCCCTGATTGCCTAATATGGCTTTACAGACATTAAGATTAAACATAGTAAATCTCAAATTAATGTGGGTATAGTTGAGTTAATAATAATTTGAATAAATCTCAGCAATACTTCAGCTGTGTTTTGTCCAATATGAATTTTTATTAATCTACATGTAGAATGGCAGTGCCATCTGTTATAATAATTTGAACAATTTAAGGCTGATTAGTATTTGTCAGCTTTAGTTAGAGTTTGTAGTTACATCATGGAGTATTGTCTCAGTGCATAGGTTCAGTTTTTGAATCTTTCTTAGATACTTTTGAAAATGTGGTTATCCATAGTGACCACAGGTCTGCAGCTGCTTGGTTTCAGGAGCTGCTGCTGTGGCAGTGCTGTAAGTAATGAGCTGGGTTTGTCAGGGACCTTGTTGTGGTGCAAGACTCTGCTCCAGACCTCAAACACTGCTTTGAGAACTGGTTTGGTCTCTTATTTTCATAAGTGCCAGAAATAGGGCTTTTTGAGAAGGGGATGGTCTTAAACTCAGCCTCACCTGACAACTCTCTGTTGTACATTAGTGTGGATTTAGGAGTTGCCAGGCAGAGTGTGTATTACTATTTCCATTGTTGTTATGAAGCATTGAGTTGCTGTTCTTTGAGATCTTTACCAAGTGTAGATCAAAGGTACACTTGAAAAGGCAGCAGTGCTTTTAATCTCATGTTGAAGCTTACCACACTTCTTTAAAATGATTGTTTTAGAGCTTTGCTTACTGTAATTTTGCGCAGCAAAGGCAAAATGCAAAGTTATTGCTGCATATGATTTAAAATGTAAGTCTTAAAATTTAAGACTCTTAGTTTAATGTAGTACTTTTCAGCTTCTGGTTGAAAGATAAAAGAAGGCAAAATACGTAATATGTGTTTTCTAAAATGGGGAAACTATCTCATTCAGGTTCTGCTATACTTAGTGTATTTCACTAAGAGGGGAAAGAATTACCCATGCAAGTAGCCATTAACTATGAAACTGTTTGTTTCCTAATTATCCCCTGGAATGTTTTGAAAGCACTGAGATGACTTAAGTACATCTCCACTGTCTTCTTCCACTTGTTTGAATCAGTTGGTATCCTTGAGTCTCTAATTTGAAAAATACTTAGAAAACAAGAGAAAGTCCAGTTTTTATCATCAGATTTTGATTTGCATTATCTTTATTTTTTAAATCTTTGTCCTGTTTTGACAGGGCTGTGTGGTCTTTTGTTACATCAAGAGTCATTCTCACAAATGCCTGAGTGTACTTTGTTTTTCACTGGAGGAGTTAAATTCTCAAAACACTCTAAAGGTGGAAAACAAGAATGCAGAATTTAAGATTTTTATCTGAACTTTCTTGTCATCGTATCTTTTGAGTATTCACCTAATCAAAGCTTTCTCTCTAACCGTGCAATGGATGTGAGGAAAACCTACATTTAAAAAGGATTTGATGGCAGTTGAGGTTTTACTTTTCTCCTGATTGAAGAAGTGCTTAGATAAAATATGCTTTTTTACAGCACTTCAAAAGCTGATAGCTGTAATATGGGAACTTGTCTCGCCCAGGTAAACATGCATTAGAGAAAGGTCATTAACACAGTTAACTCCTGAGTACTAGACTGTTTTTAAGAAGTTAAACACTGAGATGTAATCCTGCTGGCTTCTGGCAATTCATTTACATTAGTGGGAGCATTTTATATGAGCAAGACTGATTCCATAAGATTAATTTTGCATCATAGAATCCAGAAATGGAATTGTGGGAATATGCAGGTCAATGCAGGTATTTTTTTTGTGAAAGCTTATGATTTCATCTCGTGCAGGGACATCCTGATAACAAACTTGGATGCATCAATGAGCTATGATGAACTTTGTGATGAAGTGCATGAGATGTGTAATTTACAACAGGAACAGCCAATAACCCTCAAGTGGATTGATGATGAAGGTATTGTACTGAAATACTCCTTAAGCATTCTAGGGCTTATTGTTCATTGTGATTCGAAGAAACTTCTGGTTTCTAAATACCAGGCTATGTAACCCTGTCTTACAAGCAGGGATCTTGGAGAAATGAGCCTCAAAACATCAAGGTTGTACTGCACTGGAGTTCACTTCTGTAGAAGTGAAGGCTTTGTTGAACTTTAATATTCTTCTGTTCCATACTTATATGCTGAATACAAAGTTTGGGTTAATTTCAGACTCAAGTAGACCTAATGCCTTACACCTGCAAACTTTCAACTTCATATTCTTGGTGTGATTCGTTTTTGATGTGTTTTAACCCTGTCAGCTTCCAGAATTTCAAAATAATGAGTAAGGAATGAGGTAGCCTGTAGTTAAAGAATATTCAGCTGTTTTAAGATACCAAGGGCTAGTATCAACTATTTTTAAATTTTACTGATGACCAAGAAAGACAGAGGGAACTGTATTGGCTGAAGTTTCCTAGCCCTCGGTTCTGTGGCAGACCA